GGGAAAGGGAAGGGAAGGGAAGGGAGGCAGGGAGATGGGAGGGAGATGGGAGGGAGATGGAAGGGTGGGAGGAAGGAAGGAAGAAAGAAAGGAAGGAAGGAAGGAAGGAAGGAAGGAAGGAAGGAAGGAAGGAAGGAAGGAAGGAAGGAAGGAAGGAAGATAAAAGGGAGGGAGATAGAAAGAAGGAAGAGAGGGAGCTAGAAGGGAGGGAGGGAGGGAGGGAGATGGAAGAGAGGAAGGGACACATCATATACATACACATACACATACACATATACATTTACATATACACATATATATGTATGTTATTCAGCTTTGTCCGGGTATTTTCCCACGTCATTGTAGTTGTGCTTTTAAAGTTGTAGCAACGTTTCGGCAGAATCTCATCTGCCATCATCAGGCTTCTGTATTGTGTACGTCTGTGTGTGTGTGTGTGTGTGTGTGTGTGTGTGTGTATACACATACACACACACACACACACACAGAGACGTACACAATATATATATCTATATATATGTGTGTGTGTGTGTGTATATCATTGTGTGCCCAGTCTTCTCTCTTTTCCTCACAATTCTCAGAATGATGCCGTTCTTCTCCTTTCACACCAGATGTGGTCGGGCATCTGTGCAGCCATGTAATTAGCACCTTTGCAACTGTTATCACGACTCACGGAGCAGATGGAAATTATGAGAGACATTTTTAAGGGGTGGCACAAATCAGACCTATTTCTTTCATTTTATTTATTGCTAAGCAAAGAACAAAAAACACGGGGAGAATGCAGGAGAAAAGGCCCAGAGAGGCAGCTTTGTAACCTTGTTAGGGTAGAAGAGCATTTTATGCCACGAAATTTAATTTTAATGTTATGACGATTGGTGTAAATTTAAAGTGACAATAACGATTTTTAAAGTTAGTATAAGCCTAAATCCTTGGTGCTCTCTGACCAGGGATGTTTGCTTGCAGACGTTGCATTATCCAACTAGGTAACTTCATCAGTGCTACTGAGTGTGACTTGCTCCCTGTTAATATATAGTGGCTTTTTTTCTTTCAAGGTTGATGGGGTATATGGTTTTCTCTTAATCGGGGTATTGTTTTCTGGTTGATTGTTTGTCTGATGTTAATCCCTGCTTATCTGGGTATTGACTGTTGGGGGCTGGCCGCAGGGCGAGCTACTGAATATAAACAGGAAACAAACCCCACACTCGCTCACACTGATGAGGACACCTAGTTGGGTAATGAAGCGTCCACAAGAATTCAACCCAGCTCAACGAGCACCAAGGATCCCATAATTCAAACCCTGATATATAAACATCCTCTTCTATGGATCTGCTAATCTTCTGCAGCTAGCATCCTCAACTGCAGTTCTACCTTTAAAAAATGGAGGGAGGGAGGGAGAGGAGGGGAGATATTGGGCAACATCTGGAAGGGGAAAAGTATTGATTTCATGGATTTAATGAAGGCCCCCAAATGATTGGAATCTCATCTTGAGTGCTTCCTTGTTTGCTTGAAGGACCCCGGAAGTCGCTATTATGAAGGCTATTTGAAGCACATCCTGGCTAAAAGAACACCCAAGAAAAGGTGAGACCACCATTTGAGCCCCCAAGAACTGGAGAATCCCAAAAGCGGACCGAGTTTTGCATTTTGGGCAGTTCTTTTGAACTTCTTCTTTCAGCATCAATGGAGTGAAGCCAAGCATGCGTTCAAGCCTCCAATCCTACCTACGTACATTTGTATACATACCCCAAGAAGGTACTTCATTTAAATATATATACATATATATATTTATATATATATTCTTTTTCATTAGGTTCTTGGGAGATATTGAAAGGGCTTAGGGTAGCTTGGTTTTTTTTTATACTGCCCCTCTAGTTTGGTAGTTGTTCTGGAAGAATCTGCAGAACATCTACATCTTTGTGATGGCCACGTATGTTCTGAAGCAAGGAAGTTGCTGAGATGTTCTGTGTCTCTTTGACTTTCTCCTTCTCTCCTTATGGACCTGTTTTTCAACATAATCCATGTATTGAATTCATCTGGGTCTATTCAGGTCTCATTAACCCTAAAAATATCCCCAACGGGCAAAATTTAACTAGCAAGTTATTGGAAGACCACGTGGTTCGTGTTCTACCAATCAGAATATGCTTCTCGATAGATTAGCCATGGCTTTGTGATTGCAGGTTTCCAGATCCCATTGAAACTGGTCCTCTCTCTAGCCATGGCTGTGATAGCTGTCTACCAGGTAAAGTACATCATAGTTTCCTCTCAACCTGTCCACCTGTGGTAGGACCAGCCTACTCATCTGTGTTCTCCTGGTTTGCAGGTGTCCCTTCTTCTACTTGCATCCTTCATCCCCAATATCCAGATCATAAGAGCTGGGATGACCAAAGAAATGACTGCACTCTTTGTCCAGTTTGGTCTAATTCCTTCTGAAAAGCCTGCCAGTATTCCGGGAGACAAAGAGTTGGCAACGGCTAAGCACTACATCTGGTCCCTGGAAGGTACGTTCCTTCAACCTTGGACATCAGTGTCCATTACAGTACAGTGTTTGCCCAACTGCAGCTAGAATGGAGAGGGATCTTGAAGAATGCAAGAGTTAGGTCCAGGAACTCAGAGCAGAGCAGAGTAAGTGTCATGCCCCTGTTGGAATCTGATTCGGAGGGGGAGGCCGAGCAGCTGACAGGGAGTGGGAGTGTGGCTCCGTTGGCTGTGGAAGAAACAGGGGAAGGGCAAAGTCCGGCGGGACAGAACAGGGAAGAGGTAGTACAAGGGAGAGGGAATTTGGAGGAAGACCTAGGCCCACCTCCACTTCACCCTAGGGCAGGCAGGGAGGAACTGAGAAAGGAGCAATGTGAGTTGCATGGCTTACGGGGAGGAAAGGGCCCTGATTCCCTTCATTAGCTGCAGCTGGGAACACAGTGTTTAAAAAGGCAAGCGGTACACAGCAAGTCGTTGGGAGCAAATTGTGAATTTTCTGGTATCGTCGAGGCTTATCTGGGTTCCTGGTGTCTTCCCAAACTGTGTGTGTTTGGCTGTGCTTTCAAGTCTGAAATTCCTTCTCTTGCCCTGTCAAGTTAATTACTGCAGCGTGGTTTGTGTGGATTTTTAGTTACAGTTTGTATTTACTTTGTTTTCGGACTGAATTTCCTCCACTTAACAGCTGTTCCTGGGAGAATTTTTCTCCAGCCAAAGGTAACCTGGACATTGGGGGCAAAGTTGGAGATATTAAAGGGACCCTTCTTACTTATTTGACTGTGTTGTCTTTGTACCACGCCCCTTTGGGTCATCACAGTAAGGTGACATCTGCTTAGAAGGAATTCAATTATCAATCTTGAGAAGGAATTCAACAAGCAATGACAATACATATTGATTCTTGATTGTCTCACTTCCCCCAGCAATATAAAAAGTATACAGTGGTACCTTGGTACTCATCCTTAGTTGGTTCCGAGGGGTATAATGAGTACCAAACATTCCCCCCCCCCCAGAAAATAAAGTAGTGAGTCACAAGGCAGCCAATACTGACAAATTCTAGCTTGTGCGTTGAGTACCAAGTAAACAATGAGTAACAGGGCAAAATGTTTGCATCGAAATGCGTCGAGTACTAAATTCAATGAATTCAACGCCGTTGAGTACCAAGATACCGTTGCATATTAAAAATGATATTTTTAAAAAAGAAGGAACACAGTGGACATCTCATCTTTTGTAATCCTGCAAGGATCACCCAAGATCTATCCTAAAGAGGCAATTCAACCGTTCCATTTGACAAGTTTGAGTCAGAATATCCCTTTGGATCATGCAACTGAACTAAATAGATCTGGAGATCTGACTCAGTCTTTATAAAATGTGGGACACCTGCAGAGAAGTCCATAAGTCTCTAACCCCTCAAGATTTATTTAGACTGATGCTGTTGCCATTTAATTCTGCAATCCCCTTCCAAGAAATGGGTGACTCAATCCAAACGCCTTCAAATCAGAGGTCTGAATCATGGCCTCCAACGTCCTTAATATTTAACATATGTCAGCGAGCATGTTTTGCCCTCCGATGTGCTTCTGTTGCGAATCTGAATGGGTGCCTATTTCTTCCTAAGAAAAATGGAGCTTTAGTTATTATCCGTGCCTTAAAATAGATGTCTGGGCCAAGGCTAAACTAAACACGGGAGCCAAGGCATTTTTTCACATATCCCTGGAGAAAACAGAATAATTTCAGAGATCTGTTTCACGGTCTGTAAAACTTCCTGTAATTTTAAGGTCCAAGATGCGTAGGATGTTTTTCTTAAAAATGCAATCAGGAAACTGTCAAAAGTTGGGGGAGACTGTCAGAAACAAGCAGCACAGAGAGAGAGCAGAAAGTTCTGGTGATGTTTGCCCTCGTAAAGACTTCTGAGGACCAGGTGCGTGGAGTAGATGACCTGGTGACACAGGGAAACTGCGAAGAAGGATACAAGGGGGCCTCCAACCCAACAACACACAACAGCCCTGTGGTTCCTGTCACCTCCTGCTAAACCAAGCCCTGGGCAGATCCTGGTGGACACAGAGAAGAAATTAACTCTACGGGTTCTGAGAGATTAAAAATAAAACCATGTCTTTAGAGAAAGAACCCATAGCTTCTATAGATCAAATGTAGATTAAATTTGCACCTCTTTTTGCATGACGCCCACTGAGATCCCGGTGGGTTTTGTTTTCATCTTGAGAAAAAAAACAAACTGCAATCTTTTAGGAATCCTGCAGCCCTTGTCTGGATCCCTCTCTGCCCATTCTTGTTTTGCAGTGTGCTTCATCACTTCTCTGGTCCTCTCCTGCCTGGTGACCTTCTGCATGTTAATGAAATCCTTGGGAAATCATAGGTAAGGCCTCTTCCCAGGGTTCAGAGGTCCAAAGTACCTCTTTTCCTTCTCCTCGTCCTCCTCCTCCTTCTCCTCCTCCTCCTTTTTCTCTTTGTCTTCTCCTTCTTCTCCTCCTTCTCTTCCTCCTTCTCTTTCTCCTCCTTCTTCTCCTTCTGCTCCTTCTCCTCTTCCTCTCCTTCTGCTCCTCCTTCTCCCCTTCCTTCTCCTCCTCCTTTTTCTCTTCTTCCTTCTCCTCCTTGTCCTTCTCCTCCTTGTTCATCGTCTTCTCCTTCTCCTCCTCCTCCTTCTTCACCTTCTCCTCCTCCTGCTTCCCCTCCTCCTCCTCCTCCTCCTCCTTCTCCTCCACCTCTTCTTCTCCTTCTCCTCCTCCTTCTCCTTCTCCCCCTCCTTTTTCTCCTCCTCCTCCTTCTCCTCCTTCTCCTCCTCCTTCTCCTTCTGCTCCTCCTTCTCCTCTTCCTTCTCCTCCTCCTTTTTTCTCCTCCTCTTCCTTTTCCTCCTTGTCCTTCTCCTCCTCCTTGTTCATCGTCTCCTCCTCCTCCTCCTTCTTCACCTTCTCCTCCTCCTGCTTCTCCTCCTGATCACATCTTCTTCCTGCGTTTCAGGACTAACCTCCAGTGTCTCTACCGAGGGGCTGTTGAAAATGTTTTCTATCGTCCCTGCAAACTCCAACCTTCCCAGCAGTCTCTCGTATGCTGGATGCAATTCACGGGGTTCCAGATATCCTTTGCTTGCCTAGGTAACTGAGGAGCACTAATCACAACTTACAAGGTGGGAGGGAAAGAGGAGTAAGTTGAAAAAAAAACATCCTGGAAGAAAAAAAAGTCATGACAAGCCACATCCATACTGTTGCCAAGAAAACTGCACGGATGTGTCTTCAAACTTGACTTGAAGGAGTCCTTATTATTTCTCTGGCCTTATACTCCACCTTCTAGGCAACAGTTGGACCACAGGGTGGAAAAGGGTTCAGCTGGGGAGAGGTGAAGGTGTTCGAGTGGTGGGATTGAAATATTTTTACTCCCAGTTCTGTGGGCGTGGCATGGCTTGGTGGGTGTGGCAAGGGAAGGTCACTACAAAATCCCCCTTCCCTCCCCACCCCACCAACCTGCTTTCCAGCTCCATTCTCCTGGGCAGGGCAACCAAAGAAGAGCCAGCCAATCAGCTGGGACTCAACGGGAGGCAGAGAAGAGATGGGCTTAGCAGGGCCAGTTGGAGGTGGTATTGGCTGGTTCTCAGAACCACTCAAAATTTCTGCTACTGGTTCTCCAGAACCGGTCGGAACCGGCTGAATCCCATCTCTGTGGTGGTCCCAAGGTCAGAACTGATGTCCATCTGTGATCTTCTTTGCAACCCAACGGGCATTTTTGTCTCTGTTGCAGCTCTTTTCATCCAGCACCTTGTCTTCTTCATTTGCATCGTGTGTTTCACCTTCCTGATCGTTGTCCCACTGCAGTCTGGCAGCAACATGTTTCTTTTCAAAATTGTGATGAACTTGTGGTAAGTGTTCCAGAGAGCCAAGCCCAGAAGGTTAATGCGATTCATCTGCCTTATGAATGTTGAGAGGTCCCAACCCATCGATTGACCTGTCCACCTAGCTCCCTGAACTAAAACCCACCAAGCTTGGAAGTAGGAATGTCTCTTTATGTAGTTGTTGAGTTTAGACCAGGGGTCTCCAACCTTGGCAACTTTAAGACTGGTGGACTTCAACTCCCAGAATTCCTCAGCCAACTTTGCCAGCTGAGGAATTCTGGGACTTGAAGTCCACAAGTCCACCAGGGGTCTCCAACCTTGGCAATTTTAAGCCTGGAGGACTTCAACTCCCAGAATTCCTCAGCCAGCAAAGCCAGATGACAACCATTTCCCCAACATCACACTAGCTTCTAATGTGATGGTTAGAACCACTACTATACCCCTAAATTGTTGCTTTTAGTCAAACTGAACCTTCATTCATTGGATGATCGATGATTTTGGGCTTTTTTTTCTAGGCCCTTTTGGTTGACCTTGGTTGTTTCACTCATTGTCCAGAACCTGCTGGTCCGCTACTACTTTCTGGAACGGGACCATCTACCCAGGGAGTTGACCAATAGGTGATTATTAAATTATGTCATGTGGAGAGCCCTCATGACTGGCATTGATGTTACTTGGACATTTATCATTATATTGTTGCAGCAAGTTGTGTACATTGGCGTATGCGTTTGTATGCTTTACTCGTGGCCGTCTCTGCTTCCTTCTTTTGCAGGAGAGCGTTTTACATCGTGACTTACATGTTTTTCCCTATCAATGTGCTCCTGGGCTTAATGGCGGGAATCTGGAGACTGGTCATCTCGGCCCTTTATAATATTGTTCATTTCTGCCAGTTGGATGGGAGCTTGCTGAGCCGTGGGGTGGAGGGATTTGATCCAGGTAAGGAATACAAGACCCCATCCGTCCTCCCCCGAAACCAGCCCCTTGCACCCTGGCTGCATCCTTCCTTTTCATTCACGATGCATAGAACTCCATTCACACGTGTCGTATGAAGTCTATGGAAATTCTTAGTCCTCCAGGTCATTTGGTTGTCCGAAAGCTGCCTTTTTCTTTTCCAAGAGGCAACTGGAGTGTTTGGGTTTTTTCTTTGAAGGTGTTTTGCTTCTCATCCAAGCGGCTTCTCCAGCTCTGACGGGATGGTGGGGAATGGAATATAAATAGAGGTGGTATTCAGCAGGTTCTGACCGGTTTTGGAGAAATTTTGAGTAGTTCAGAGAACCGGCCAATCCCACCTCCTGACTGGCCCCGCCCCCATCTATTCTCCGCCTCCCGAGTCCCAGCTGATTGGCTGGGTCTTCTTTGGTTGCCCTGCACAGGAGAACGGAGCTGGAAAGGAGGTTAGTGGGGTGGGGAGGGAAGGGAGATTTCGCAGTAACCTTCCCCTGCCACGCCCACCAAGCCAAGCCACGCCCACAGAACCGGTAGCAAAAAAAAAAAAATGAATCACTGAATATAAATCATTCCCCACCATCCAGTCAGAGCTTGCAGATTTATATTCCGCAACAAATATACCTCCTTCCATTCCCCAGAGCCGAAGAAGCTTTTTGGATGAGAAACGAAACGTCTTCAAAGAAAAAACAGAAACTCCACTTGCCTCTTGGAAAAAAAAAAAGAACCTTTTGGGATGATCGTATGAAGTCCCTGTAGATTTGTTTGCAAAATCTCCATTCTCTCCCCACTCCTGGGTGAAGGATACTGAAAAATCCCCGTTCTCTCCCCATGCCACTAACCTGCTTTCCAGCTCCGTTCTTCTGTGCAGGGCAACCAAAGGAGACCCAGCCGATCAGCCAGGACTCAATGGGAGGCAGAGAAGAGATGGCGGCGGGGCCAGTTAGAGGCGGTATTTGCTGGTTCTCCAGAACTACTCAAAATGTCCGCTACCGGTTCTCCAGAACTGGTCAGAACTGGGCTGAAGACCACCTCTGCATCCGTCTCTTTCTTGCAGGCCACCGTACCTACTGCCAATATTTGAAAATCGAGGTCAGCCAATCACACCCAGCAATGAAAGCCTTTTGCCTCTTGCTTCTCCGTTGGCAAAGTGCCCAAAATATACAGACCCTCCAACTCAGAGACGCCGAAGAAGGTAAGAGTTCAATCCGAGGAGGATCGAGTCCAGGAACCGCAATAGGCAGGTGGAGAAAAATGGACGGACGGTTGCCCAAAGTCACTCCAAACTTTCCTCGGAAATAAAAGGAAATTAAATTAGAAATCAAATTAGAACCGCAACTGAGCCGAAAATTTCTGTTCACTAAATGAGACAGTGGTTAAGTGAGTTTTGGCCCCATTCTATGTCTTCTGGCCACTGTTGTTAATTAAGTGAACCACTGCGGTTGTTAAGTTAGCGACACCGTTGTGAAGTAGATCTGGCTTCCTTGTTGACTTTGCTGTCAGACAGTCGCAAAAGGGGATTGCTGTCAACTCATAAAACATTTCTATGCCCGTTTTAGAGTTGCCGTGACCAGAAAAGGGGGAAGGGGAAAGGAATTTGAAAGAACAGCAGTTTGGAATCGAAAGCGCATTCCATTCATATCTTGCAAAAATTATAACTAAGCGACTGGAGTTTCTCTAATTGGAGAACATGATTGATGACTCTTGGCTATGGATGTGTCCCATTGGAGAATATAAATTACAATACACCCAGAGGGGTGGGGGGGTGGGGAAACCAGGGTCAAGGGTGACAGTGAATTACATGTCTCAGAGTCAGCTACACACAGGTCATGCCGACATGTTCGCTCCTAATAAATCCTTTGACATTTTTCAAACTTGGCTTCTTGGAAACTTGGATTTAATTATGGCCACTGCCGGAATCCTGACAGTTGCGTGATCCCAGGATACTGCCATTGTCGTAAGTATGAGACAGATGCCAAGCGCCTGAATTTTGATCACGTGACAGTAGGATGCTGCGGCGGTGTGAAAAAGTTACTTTTCCAGTATTGTTATTACTTTGAGCGGTCACTAAATGAATTATTGTAAGTCGGGAACTACCTGTATTAAAACGTTCCAAAGAAACAAGGCCAAATAATACTGATGATACTTTCACTTTCCTCTTCAGCTCTCTTTTATATTTCTATCTTTCTTTTTAAAAAAATCTTCTTTCTCTAACTTAACAAGGTTGTCTTTTCAAGCCTGGGATCTGATTGCACGAAACAAACCTATCAATTCAGACTTGCCCCATAATCTTTGCTTCTTCTGAATTTCTTTCCAGGTTATCTTCAAGCTGACGCACACACACACACATCCTTCTAAGACAGAGGTATCCAAACTTGGCCATTTTAAGACTTGTGGACTTCAACTCCCAGAATTCTCCAGCCTGGCTGGAGAATTCTGGGAGTTGAAGTCCACAAGTCTTAAAGTGGCCAAGTTTGAGGACTCCTGTTTTAAGACTATCGTTTCAACCAGATTCCTTTCTCAACAGGAATCAAACTCATGAAGACCACCAGTTCATCACCCAAAGCACCAAAGGGCCAACAGAACCGGGTGCGATGGCGCCTGGCCTACACCCTCCTCAACAACCCTTCCCTGTTGCCCTATCGCAAAGGGGCCCTTGTGGATGCGACAGTCAATGAGACCAAGGCCAGCCTCACCAAGCCTTGATGGAACCGGCAACGTTTCTTGGAAAACAATGGACTCCCATCCGGTGATAATGGATGGATTCCATCACGAGTTTTCAACTGGGGTTCTTCAACTTCTTCTCCGTGCCTCTTTCAGGCTCGTGTGTCTATCCCGACCTCTTTGTAGACTTAGAAGATGACAAGAGGCGTAGCTGTCCTCCTTTCCTTTCCCACCCCACCCCATTCCACCCCAGGACAAACAGCTCTTGATGGCCACGACACCCAAAGCAAAGTTTTGGAATTGATCCAAAGCTGGTCTTTTTCTCTCCATAACAAGACGTTCCTTAGCATGTGTTCTCCTGTTGTTGTTTTTGTTTTTAACCTGTCAATGTTGCCCTTCGCACATCTTGGGTTTCAAAGCCCTCTGAAGTGCTTGGTGCACCCTAAATCTTGTGGGATTCACTTTTAGCAAGAAAGAAAGCCAAGGATGGTAGGCTTAGAAGTTAAAAGCAAAATAGAGACCAAAGTATGGAGATTTTGAGAGTTTTGCAAATGTACATAATGGGTTCTTTTTTTAATGTTAGGAGTGGGGTGATGTTTGAGATGGAGAATTTGTATAAATGCATTGAACAGGCTCCTTTAACTTGTTTAAATTCCCACATACACTGTTCCAGGTTGTCTAGATGTTTAACAGAGTGGCCACCATTCCTCAGTAGAATTAAAAGAGTTGTGTCATAAATATGAAGAAGAAGATGAAGACGGAGACAAAGAAGAAGAAACTGGACAATCAAAATATATGCACAAGAAAAAAAAACACATCTCAGATTTTTTTAATCCCTCCAGTTCTAATAGGTTACATTGAGAAAGTCCCTACATAGTTGAGTCTTTTTGACAATACCTCTTCATGTCAAGTTGTGGAGTTCCTTCTCCTCATTCTTACCTTGACCAAGTAAGGTTCCCGCCCATCTCCTTTAAAATTAAAAAAAGTTCTAATTTCAGGAGCTGGCCAGATGACTTCTGCACACATCTAATGAATGTTGAGTAATTAAAGAATACAGAAACCTGATTTCTACTATGATGCATAATAAATGAAACCTCATGGTTAGTCTCTTGGAGAAGGTGTGCTTTTGTCTTCAGGGGCATCTCGGCCCGCCGGACGTCGAATCCTGGAAGGAGGCATTTGATGGAGAGATTGTTTTGATGATGTCGGGACTTTCAAAAAATAAAACTGGATAGAGAAACGTGTATGTGTAAGTGTGTATCTGGTTTGCTGCAAAAGATCTTTTCCAGGTCTTGCCAGTTTAAAAGATCAGAGAGCAGGAATAGAAGAAGGCTTCCGGAAGTACACCACCGTTGACTTGGAAGACTGTAGCTAGACTTTCCATTTCCCCAAGCTGGAGAATGTGTAGATCATCCCTTGCTTGCTCCTTCTCGGGATGTTTTTGGAAGAGACTGTCAACTGCCACCTTATGCTGGCTTGTGCTTCACTGCTATGTGGTGACAGGAACTGTGGAGAAGGGGAATGCTTGGGGAAATGAAAGTAAGTGTGGTGTCTCCTTAAGACGCTGCCTCAATGTCACTCATCTGGAAGAGGGAGGGAGTTACATACCAAACAATGCTAGGACTGACCGTTATGAAAACATCTTTCCTGAAACCTGGTTAGTTACGCTGGGATGGGCAGTAAGAGACAGTTAAGGGAGAGAAAAGTAGAACTTAGCGATTTTGGCCTGCGATTCTCAGTTCTGGCTGTACAATACTACAATACACTTGATCTCTAATAAAATGATGCCTTTCTCAACAAATGGAGCCAAGGACCATTTCTAGTTAGAGATTTAAATTGTGCCAGGTCAGATACTCAGAACTGAGAATCATAGGCCGAAATCTTTAAATTCGACTTTCTCGTCCTACTCTGTCTCTGACAAAGTTGAGCTTATATATCAAAAAGTTCTCCACCATTTCCACCAAGTCAAGATAAGCATCCTCAAGAAATTAGTCACCTTTTCCCTTCTCCCTTTATAATTTTTTTCCTCCTGAAAAACAGTTCTGGACTTTCAAATCCTTGCCAGGTTTTGGACTGCTTCTATTCACCTAATCAAATTCGCCTATCCGTATTTTTGATTTTTTTTTTCTCTCTCTCTCTCTCTCATTGTTCACCTGTCTGTTTCTTTTCTTACTTGAGAATATGGGGAATCCTGCCCCAGTTCAAATCAAGATTCTTCGTCTAAGAACCAAAGTGTGAAACTTTTACCTAAACTAAGAGCTGCCATGGGCCATCCTATAGAAATAAGTTGGATTTTCTCACCGATGCTAGATTGCAAATGTCTTAGCTGTAATGGGCAAGCAAGCAGAACAGAAATAAACTCCAGAAACCCAACTGGCTTTGAGTTCCTCCATTGCAAACAGTCTTGGGCATGGTAGGAATCAAATAGACAAACTTCACATTTTCGTCGGAGGTCAGGCCTTCTCTGATGTCACCAGTTTTGTTTGGATTCTTGCTGGCTTGGAGATGGTTCTTGAGGAAAGTGGTGGGTTTCTCAGAGCCGGTCAAAGCCACGTGGACAAAAGCCTCACGAGAGCCAACATCATTATAGGCCTGGCAAGTATAAATACCTTCGTTGGCCTTGCTGAATTTGGTGACCGCCATGGATCCATTTTTGAAGACCAGAAAGCGCCCTCTGCTCTGCGAGGAACCTGCAGGATCTCGCAACAAGTCCTCTTCTCTTTCAACGTTGGGCCCATCGATGGCCACATGTTGATCAGCTGTCTGGATTTTCCACCTGATCTTCGGCGGGGGTTTACCCACAGCATTGCAGTGCAATTGAAGAGTTAGCCCATCTTTCAACTTACTGTTCTCTAAGCTGGAATGATAGACCAACTGCACCGAAGGAAGGGCACAGTCTAACTTCAAGGACCTCCCAAGAATGAGTCCTTTCTGTGTCTCCGGAGTAGCACACGTAACGGACTTCTTCTCTGGAATCGACACCAGCGTGCTCTGTAGCCATCCATCCAGCCACCAAATTTTACAGGTGCAATCGAAGGGGTTGTTGTTGATTTGCAGCTGAGCTAACTTAGGCATGGAACTGAAGGTCCCATCCGAGAGAATCGCGAGCCGATTGTCACTGAGCCAGAGAGAACGAAGATCCTTAAGGGGCCGAAAGGCCTCTGGAGGGATCTTCTCCAGATGGTTGTTGCTGAGCTTCAGCTGTTGCAGAGATGTGAGGTTGGAAAGGTCTCTCCAAGGGAAATTATTAATCTGATTGTGACTGAGATCAAGAGCCCGGAGGTGTACCAGAAAAGAGAAGGTGCCCACAGCGACGGTGCCTATTTGATTGTAGGAGAGCCACAAACCTTGTAGTTTTGCCGTGTTGGCGAAGGACTCTTCACCCAAGGAGGCAATGTGGTTGACGGACAGGGTGAGGGTGGTGGTGTTGGAGGAGAAGTCCTGAGGGACCACCTGGAGATCTTGATAAGAACAGTCTGCAACATATCGCTCATATTTCTTCTTTGCTACACACCGACACACCTCCGGGCAGCTCTGGATCCCCACAAGGAGCAATGTGATTAGTAAGCAGGTGAAGAGATCCATTGCTTTCTCCCCATTTAGCTGCAAAACAACAACAGTGGAGATTATCTTCCATCCTTCTAAGATCTGGTCCAACCCAACAATCGGCCCATAACTGTGTTATATCACCTGAGGTTGAACATGGGCATCACCTGATGGGCCTTTGAGTGAACCAACCCAGAGTTTGGTAATCTAACAAATCTGGTCTCAAGACTTCTTCCCAACAATTGTGTGTGATAGCAAATCCAAGCTCAATTTATCTCGGATGTCTGCAAAAAAAAATAAATCACTCCAGCAACACTGAATGGATGAAGTGATAATAGAAAACTATGACCATCAAAAATATATTGCTGCTAGCAAGGAACACTGTCTCTAGTGTTGTTTCATAATACAGCTATGTGTTTCTTATCTGGATGTCCTTCAACCTTTCAACTGAATTTTAATCAAGGAAAGATCCTCACATTTTTAAAATAATTATGAAAGAAGTCCTTTGCGTAGACCGTGAAAGCTAAGACATAAATCTTAAGTAGCATAGTAACCAGTTTAAAATTTCCCACCGCTCTCCTACTTTAAGGTTCTCCTATCATGAGGTTTCTTTCCATGTTGCTCTCACATTGTGTGAATCCACCTCTGTGCTCTGGTTTAGCACTACAAACCCCTAGACTCAAGAAAACATCCCCATAAGCCACAGCTTCTCAATCTTGGCAAATTTAAGATGTGTGGACTTCAACTCTCAGAATTCCACAGCCAGGAAATTCTGGGATTTTTTATTTTATTTTTTAAAGACAAACACTAACAAACACAAAGATAAAACATTAACATAAAACCATCTTCCAAAATACAGCATGTTGGCTGGTACATTTCTTTCATAGTATCAACCGTCTTCCTCTTCCAAACATACATTCATATTACCTAAGTCAACTATATATATTATATTGTATTATATGGTATCATTATTGTATCATTATTAGATTCAACTATAAATTTACATAGTTCTTATCGAGCGAATCTAAGTTTTAACCAATCTGGGAACATTCAATTCATTTCATTATGTTCAATTATATAATATCATTACATCATATTATCTTACATATTATACTATTCCTTTTTATAACATCGTGTACTTCTGGGAATTGAAGTCTACACATCTTAGAGTCACCAAGACTGAGAAACACTGCCATAATCTATTCCCAGTGAATGTGCTTCTTTTGTTATCTTGTTGAACTGCTATGCTGATTTCACAATTCTGTTGGGAAGAAATATCTTTGTCCAATTAGCATTTGTCTAGCTGAAGATGTGCCTTGCTGTAAAAAGGATGACTCTGTGTCTAAAAGAAGGCGAATTTTCTTGTAGATCATCAACACCTCACCACAACACCTTTCCAACACTCTCTTCTTTCACACTCCCCAAGGACAGTGGCCTCATTCTGAGCTTATCCCAATACATGGAGTTTGGGAGTTAGAACTGGGCAGCTAACAGGTAAAAGGTAAAGCCAGGATTTTAGGACTTCTTTTCTGTTAACCACATCCTGGAATTCAGGTTACACGTTTTGGTTGCCACTAATGTAACTGGACAGTTTTCTCTGGACTTCGCTGCTTAAGAAGTCTTCCTGCCCACGAGAACTGGAGGCTTGTCATACAAGCCTTCAGAAATTCATGGCTACCCTACTACAATGTATTTTGTGTAGGGCTGCCCTTCATAATCTTCAGGCTATCTCCAGAAGTGGTGGGTGCTCCAACTCTGGAGGTTTTTAAGAAGAGATTGGACAGCCATTCATCAGAAATGGGGAAGAGTTTCCTGCTTGAGCAAGGGTTGGACTAGAAGACCTCCAAAACCCCTTCCAACTCTGTTGTTCTGTTAGATTCTGCCTTCTGTAGGGGGTCTTCATGAGGAGTGAGTGGCACCAGCATCTATGCTGGTGGAGAATTCTGAAGGAGAAGGCTGGGTAGGGATCTTCACCAGGGTACCCCTAGATTCCTGGGGTGCTGTAGTTAAATTTTTATCCTGCAAAAGAGGCCCTCCTGCGCATTTTCTCAAGTCTTACCACCACCAGTTTCATCATTTGGCCTGCTACCTCCAAAAACTAGAATCACTGCTTCATGTTTCACACACACACACACACACACACACACACACACACACTAAAGTAAGAATGATCACAAAACCAACAAATAATTTAAAAGGCTGGCTTTTCCCAGGTGTGCTGAGAGTCTATCCCATCTGATAAACAACGGATGATGAGGAAGGTGGCCTCAACATCTCTCTAGGTAGGGCCAAGGAGAAGAACCTCTTCTCCTTGTATTTTTTTCACTACTGAGCTTAGTGGCTGCTAGAGAAAAAATTCACAGCAAAATCTGGAGAGCAGACTCGATATGCTTGAAATCCAGCCGTGAATTGAAGCCGTCAGGAATCCCAACTGGGAGTCTAAATCTAGCAAACTTGACAAAAGTTTGGTTTGTTCTCTGCTAGAACCCCCCCAAAAGAAGCAAATCTCATACCAGTCCCTTTCTGCTCCAGAGTAATCCTTACTCCTTCCTTCCAATTCTTTGCAGCCATTACCCTCCTCCCTCAAATACGCTGCGCAAAAATAAAAAAGCCCAGATGTTTTCGTTCTCCCAGTTTCACAATTCCTGGCCCGAAAGCTGCAAAAAGCTGCATCGTCGCTCAGCAAGGGAGAGGAACTGAAATCTGAGGAAAACCAGAACTAATTTTCACTAGGGTTGGGGTGCGGGGAAAGCACCCACTCAGAAAATAAGCCCTTTTAACAACAAGCTTCCTGAACTCAAGACAGGAAAAGGGAATATCGTTTCTCTTTCTTTTTACCTTTTTCCAAGCTCCCCTGTTTTCTCTCTTGCGATGTTTCGGGAGGAAAACCTCTACAAACATTGTATTGAGCGCGGACAGGGCTACGCTACGCATTCCAAAAACTTTAATAATAATAGAAAGTCCTGCCTCCAATTTGGCAGGAGTTGGGACAAAGGCGGGGGAGGAAGAGGAGTTGATTTTTTGCAGGCCTCACCAAAAAAAGAAAGAAAGAAAGAAATATTTGGCTTTTTCGGTTTAATGGAAAGAGGCGCCTCTGGTAGGCAGCGTGCTTTCTGGGAAGAAACTGTTCAGGGTTGTCTGTGACATCCTAAAATTTTAATCCTGATGTACTGGATTTGCACAGAGGGTTCAGATCGATTGAGTTTCTCTCCTCCTCTCTACAATACACCTGGTTTTTTTGCATGTTTGTTTGTTTACTTGATTTAGGTAGCTGTCCTTCTTGCCAAGGTGGTGTGTACACCAAAATAATAGACTAACAATGTTGGAAGGGACCTTTGGAGGTCTTCTAGTCCAACCAGGAAACCCTGTACCACTTCAATCTCCAATGATGGAGCACCTACAACTTCTGGAGATAATTTGTTCCACTGATTAACTGTTCTCGCTGTCAGCAAATTCCTCCTTAGTTCTAGGTTGCTTCTCTCCTTGGTTAGTTTCCACCCGTTGCTTCTTCTCCTGCCTTCAGGTGCTTTGGAGAATAGCTTGACTCCCTCTTCTTTGGGGCAGCCCCTGAGATATTGGAACCAATAAACACCCATAAACAATAAACTAGAAAATCTATGGTCTGTTGGCTTTACAAAGTCTCAGACGATTAAGTTTAAAATTGCCCACAGAGTCGATTCAGAGGATATCCGTAATCCATGGCAGATTTTCATTCCTGCTTTCTGATTTCCCTCCTCCACTTCCTTTGTACATACTCACTTAAAAATTCACTGGTTTTTTTCCTGTCTCCTGCAGGCTGTAAAGCACAGATGGGGAGGAGTAAATTAAGGGGAGATTGTCTGTCTCCCCGATGAATAACAGATGAAGTAGACGAGTCTCTAATAACCTGACTCACCGGCTGCTTCGGACCGAAGTAATGTCTCTTAAACATAGACAATCCTAAAGCATATAAGTTTGTTTTTTTTTTAAAGAAACATTTACTCTGCTTTCTTCTTCTTTTTTTTTGTAAGATGACTACAAGGGCTAGTTCAGCTTATGTGGGAAGGGAAAACAATCTATTGGCTCTGCGTGAGGTTGTGTGTCTTCAGCGTCTCAGACAGAAGATGTGGCGGGCTAGACATTTCCACTTTTAGGAGGCCACGAAATCCATTTTTAAATGGATTTCATCACTTGGAAACCTTGAGACCACGTGTCATCTCCTCAGCTCGCTTTTTGAGCTTGCTACCTTCTGGTATGGTGCTCATCCGCCATTGTTGATAGGACACAGAATATAGGATAACTAGCTCGATAACCGTGCTTCGCTACGAAACTATGTTAGTTTTGCGGGGAGGAAGGTAAGGAGAGAAAAAATCTGCCTCTGCCTACCAGCATTCATTAGTATTCATCTGGCTAGCGTCCTGTCAGTGTGTGAGAGAATTGAGGGCTGTTTGGAAAGTGAAACAGTATTTGCTGTGTGAGCAAGAAGGAGACAGCAAGGAGCCTGGGCATGGCTTAGCTCAACTGTTCTGTCCTAAAGCTGATTACTGCTGTGAAACTAAAACTGAAATTCCTCTCCTCTGCTTGTGTTTTGCATTTGGAACAGATTTTTTTTCAGGTAAGGAGGGGGAGTAGAACTCCTTAGCATCAGAGCGTGTTAATAATAATAATATAGGAAATGCTCTAAATGCTCTGATGGTCGTTTCAAAAAATCCTTTCTTAGTGAGCCCCTAGAAGCCAAGAGGAACCTACGTGCCCAATTTCAAGTTTGTAGGCTTTACAGTTCTGGAGATTTTGTGATGATGTGTGAGAGGTATTTCGCGGTTTTTTTTTTTACCCTCCCATAAGGTATAAAGGACAGGCAAAGGTAGAGAAACCTTTGCAGGAAGCAAAGTCGTTCGCTCTGTTCAGATTAATCCTTGAAGCTCTGGGTGGACTTTGTACTTCAGATGGTTTTGTTATAGTTCATTTAGTTCTTTAGTTGTTGGCATCAGTTCAAAGGAGAGAAAGGTGGGTGCTTATCTCGAGGGACTGTTTGGGACTCATGACAGGCTGGGAATGAACATAGTTCCCAGCATTGAAATAAAACAAGAGTTGTTTAAACTAAGCGTGTGCTTAATTACGGTCTCGGGAAGCCTGGGTCAGAACACTTGGCAACTTTAAGACTTGTGGACTTCAATTCCCAGAATTCCCCATACTGTAGTCCCTGCCCTCTAAAATATTTCCCCTTCAGATATCAGAAGGACCCCAAGCCTGTTGGTCTTTTCTAAGACCATGAAGAAGACTGGAACCTCCCTTCTAACACTGATGAAGTTACCTAGTTGGGTAATGAAATGTCTGAAAGAAAACCACCAAGTTCAGGAAGCACCAAAGGACTTCACAATTCAGTCCTGAGCTACAAATAATTCTCCTCTAAAGATATATTTATTTTGTTCTCCTTTCATCGTTTGAATTGGTTTTTTTTTTTAATGTTTTAGGATGTAACACCACCTCGAATCACTTGTTGAGATGGGCAGCTGTAAAAATCAAATGGCAATAAAATAAAATACAGCTTGCCTACTATTACTCCCCCAAAACACTTGTACGTACACCTTCATCTAATCAGCAGGAGTGAAAATTGACTGGAAGGCATTTATCTTATACATAAGGGCTGTGTTTCTCGGAAGAGACGTTTGCCATCTTCCCTTGTCTTCCTTCTACTTCCCGGTGGTCTCAAAGGGTTCCATGGTGTACCCTCCAATTCCAATATCTCATCATAACTAGATTCCCCAGGGAATTATTAGGTGG